CATTTTAATATTTCCCCCCCACTTCCAGTTGTCATTGTAATATATCCCCCCACTTCCAGGTGTCATAACCAGATAATCAATGTTATTCACTTCACCTCTCAGTAGTCACAATGTTATGGCTGAACAGTGTATATATATATATATATAATTGGGGCGGGGATATATATATATATATACAGTATACTATCCCAGTTTTCTTGCCATTTGCATGTTAGTCTTCCAGTTCTTTCTCCCCCGGCCTCTCCTAAAAGTCCATGGAACAAGTCACCTGTTTTGTGTAGATATTATTGGAGAAGTTCCTGATAAACTGTAAATGATGCAGCAGCTTTGCTGAAGGCATTCGTATATCAAACACAATTAATACAACAAATACAATAACATTTTATTGCGGTATTTGCACAATGGAGCTAAAACTCAGAGGAAAGAGGAAGAGATTGTTACTTATGTAATCACATAGTTAAAGAGTAACTGAAGTGTATCTAAAGCCAAAAACTTTCTTCTGCTTGGATAGAATAGGGAAGTTATAGAAAATCTGTCAACTGGTGGTCCCATTGAAAGATTTTCCCTTTATTCTCATTCTGGTGGCAACTTAATATTTTGGATTTTGTCTCACTGTTGGTGCTGGTAACAATGGGCCGATTCGTTTAGAACAGTGTTTTTCTCCTGTTACCTCAGGACCCACATTTGTCCTTGCTCCTTAAGTCACAACCCAAGTTGCACGGCAATGGAACACACGGCATTAGGATACCGCAGATTCCAGTGCGGGTGTATGAACGGTGGGTGGGAGGTACGTTTGGGGTACCATTCAAATGAAAGGCAACACAACACACCTCCCACCGTAGTAGGTGCGGTTGCACTAAACGCACAGGACTGTTCGATTACCACACTGTACTAGTGTGAACGGGCCCTCACAAACACTGACAGACACAACCACAGGCACAATCTCACACCCACATATACATTACCAAAAATGTTTTTTCTTTCTTTTTTTAAGATCCACCCAGTCTCCCTATCTTACGAGAACTAGAGTGGATCCTCAGGCTGGGGTCCAGTGAGTGCTGTGCTTGTACAACCCCCTTGCGTGCTCTGTAGAGATGTCGGGAGCCAGAATGTGACGTCACTCTGGTCCAGGCACCTCTGCAGGACATGCAAAGAAGCTGTAAGCAATGCAAGTATGGATTGAGCTCCCTTTTGGCCATAGCTCCAGCCAACCCCACCTTAAGCTGACCCTCTGCGCCAAGTAGTATATGAAGGGCTGCTTGGTGCGAGGACTGACAGTGCTGCGTTAGGGGGAGGCTGAGAAGCCTCTCACCTAGAAAAGTGGAAGGCACACGGCGACCCACTGAACACGGGGTCATGACCCACCAGTTGAGAATCAAGGGTTTAGAAGCTTAACAACGAGGGCCATGGTCAGCCATGGTCAGCTTTGAAAGTTGACATAACAAACCATTGTCACCCAGCGCTGAGGGGAGACTTTGCCCATGTGACATGACCTTGTATTAAACTAACAGGCCATGCCTGACCTTATCCACATGGTAATGGCCGTTGCACAGAGACATTATGCTTTTAAAGCTACCCGCTTATTACAGGTAACTTTCAATCATGGTTGGCAAGGCATTACAGGTTGGCACCAATTTTACTGACCCCAAATTTAGTCGGCATTTAAAGCCTGAATCTGAATCTTACCACTGGTGCTAATGTACAGGTAATGGTGTGAATATGGCATATATATTTGGCTTTACTTTACCTGTGTTTAGCAGACCCCTGTGTAGCAGGAAATAGACTTAATAAGTTATTAATGTGAGTGGCTCAGGCTCTATTAGATTGTCCAGTGCTGTCAGTTTAACAGTGGCAGTTAGCAGGCAGTTGAGTAGTCATGATGACTTTATCAGCGTGGTGCTGCCTCTTCAATGTCCAATCAGTATATTGGGGGAGGGTCATGATCAAACTGTATATCTTTACTGCAATGGAGAGAAGTCAGGTCACTTACCTATGTATATCAGGTTAGGACTGGAAATGTTTAGCCTATAAGACAAACACAACTAACTGGTTCTTTTACAGTAGTGTGGGGCATTTGTTTTTGTGTTTCACTGCAGTGACTTGTGAAATGTGGGTGTGGTCATACAGGTGAAACTCGAATAATTAGAATATCGTGCAAAGTTCATTTATTTCCCTAATGCAACTTAAAAGGTGAAACTAATATATGAGAGAGACTCATTACATACAAAGCAAGATAATTCAAGCCGTGATTTGTCATAATTGTGATGATTATGGCTTACAGCTCATGAAAACCCCAAGAACCCCAAATCCACAACCTCAAAAAAGTAGATTATTACATGCAATCAATAAAACAAGGATTGTACATAGAACAATATCGGACCTCTGAAAAGTACAAGCATGCATATGTACTCAGTACTTGGTTTGGGCCCCTTTTGCAGCACTTACTGCAATTACTTTTGCACGATATTCTAATTATTCGAGTTTCACCTGTATATATATATACCCATTTATATTGCACTATATATATATTTTTTTTACTATATATATATATATATATATATATATATAGACATATATATATATATA